TTTTGTATCAAAGAAATTTTTAGAGTACAAAAACAAAAGAAAAAACACGATTTGGGGCTTGGTTCTTTTTTGCTAAAAATAAATAACAATTCCGTCAATTCCTATTCAAAAGTGCAATTATCTCAGATTTGGTCATTTTGTGGGTTAGTTCCTTTCTGATTAATGCTGTCCACTTGACACTTTGCTATCAATTTTAACATTCAATTTAACTTTTTTTGATAACAAGGCGGAGTAAAAGTACTTTTCCCTTCTTTAAGAGTGAAAGCAAATGTAACAGGCTCCTTTAATGGTGAAATCCCCAATTTTTCATATAGACAAAATATCCTTAGTTTTCTATTTTTTATTTTTTTAAGTTTAACAAAATATGTTTTTAACGTTGAATATCAGGTTCCTCTTGTTAATGATAATATACTATAATAGTTATTTATGCAACCAGTTACGAAATGCCTTATTTTATGTAACGAGTGAATATTTGCGGCATTTCGTGATTGGTTGCATAAATAACTTTTGTGTTGATTTAGAGTGGAAAATAAGGACCAAAACAACATTATTACTAGGTTGTAAGTTTAACCAAATTTTATTTTTATGAGTTAACCTGCCGTTTTTTGATATAAACTTTCCATAATAATGTATATGGATTTTAAAACCAAAAATTGTTTATTTTTATTTGGTTTCTTTTCGCAACTGGTGACGTAATGAATTTTTCATAACCAGTTTCATAATGTTCAACATTATGCAACTAGTTGCGTAAAGTAGACCATTTTGACACTTGCTGCGATTACAAAAAATGTCAAAATTAGAAAAATTTTATTGTTTTTATTTGCTTTTCTTTCAAAATAAACAAAAAAGGCAATATAATTTAATCAAAATTTGCCCGTAATTTAACAATGGTTTATTGATAAAAAATAACATATGTATTCACAAACCATGTTTAAATTAAAATAAAACAGAAATGTCAAATCCAGTTTCACATAATACGAGTTACCGCTTCCCTCAAAAAAAAAAAACTATTCCTTCGGCTAATGCCGCAACAGGCATCGAAGTATATCCAAACGATAACATCAGAAAAAAAAAATTCAACACTTTACCATTGATTTTACTTACCAAGAAGAACGTCTTTTCTTTCTTAGATCGGTTTCGTCCTTATTAGAACTCATCAGCAAGAAATAAACATTCTCGATTCCAATCTCTAATGGAATCTGCAAAGGAGTTAAATTCACTCACCTATTTTATTTTACGTCTTGGTCACATTTGAGTTGGGATTTTTTCCTTTTTAATTTTTACTTTCCTATCTGTATACATTTGTGAAATCGATAGAAAAAATCTAAAGAATGTCAGTTTGCAAAAATTAAAATAATTAAATAATCGTTTGTGAAATATCTCTATGGGATGTTCATTATAATGTTTGCTTAGGGTTTTTAAGTACTTGTAATTAATTAATTATTTCAGAGTTGATTACAACTAATTAACCGAATTCGGTGGCCATAAACTTTTATTAAATTTAGTGCAATATATGTTGAGTTTAATTTCAACATCTTTGTAGATATCCACATGTTGAGCAGTTGACTTCCATTTTCGTTTAATAATATTAATAAGTGATCCACAAAAAATATTCTAAGTAGGCCTTAGAAAAAATCACGGCTGTTGTAGCGTACAGTTTTTAAGTGTCAGTTGGATTCAAAGATATCAGATAGAATAGATACGTCTTGTTAACATTAAATTTGTTCGCAACATCATCCTGATGGTACGCTCTTCCTATGTTGTCAGATCTCTTCTTTCAAATATCCTGCATTAAATTTTTATTACAAAATTTACTATTCTCTTTAATAAAATCTATTAAAAAAGAAAAATTACGAATTTAAAGCATCAATATGAGTTTTTTATTCATTGCAATAACTTGTATTTATCGTCGTTTACACGTCTATGTCGATATTAAACATTCTGGTTCATAACATTTAATATTGGCAAAATAAAACATTTCGTTGACGGCGTCAAGTGACAGCTGTGTTTTTTTGAGATTTTCGAGAATAAGTTGAACATTGAACTGTTTAATAAGAACATTTAGGATGATGAGGAAATGTTTAGTGTGCCGAAATATTTGGAATAAGAATGTTATGCGCTCATTTCATAGGTAAGGTATTGTTAGCATAAACGGAGTCATATATTATATGGAAAAAGGTTTGATTTATTAAGATTTAGCCAATAAATAATTTTTATAAAATATAAATAAACCCTTTCCAAACCCTACGTCCATGTCTGAGGTACCCCTTTCCCCGTCTGGTATATGGTGCGGACAAAAGTTGTATTGGTTATACAGTGTGGAGGGCGCGTTTATCTTAGATAATATAATGTCTACGGTTGTATTTAATTCAGAGCGGTACGCAGTTATCACGGACATGACTCTTATCTCTGTCTTTGTCGGTCATGGCCTACTTTAGAAACATTTTTGTGGATCATTTTTTATTATAAAAACACGTACATCTTTATATTAAGTACAAAGAATCTGTTTCAAGAGGAGAGAAGAATGGGCGTTTGGTCCCTCAAAACTCAATGTGAACTATATGTTCCTGTGATTTGCTATTATTGTTTCTTGTTTTTATATACGATTGATGACACTCCATAAAATCCCCAATTCTTATTTGATACTATCACAGAGCAATCGATAATTGATTTATTGTGGGAATACTGTCAATGCTAAAAATATAAGTGATAGAAACATGTTATTTGTTAGAATGTAGGCTTTTACTTACAAATCATTGTCCGATTTTAAAACTTCAATGTCATAAACATCAGTGGTTGACAGAACAGAAAATCGTGACACCGACCAGAGATGGGAGAAAAATAACGATATCATAGATATACCGTTAAATAATTTGTAAAAAAGTATGGAATAAGTAAATAAACATTATTATTATTATTATTATTATTATTATTATTATTATTATTATTATTATTATTAACTAAGAAATATGAGAAAATTGGTTTAAATCCTGAAATATGCAATTGTTTCTATATGAAATGTTTCCACACATGCCCAAAGTGAAAACAAGCCCAAGAAAAACTTGGGGATGTGCGGCTACAGTCATTTCTTAATTTCGTAGTGTTAATTGGGGATTATACTTTTATACAAAAAAATGCATTATTATTCATTTTAATTTTAAAATAAATCAAACCAAAATATCACAAAATTTAAAGTGATTTATTTTTCTTGTCGTATTTCAAATGTTAGATATGAATAATATATTAAACTAAAATATTTAATACTAAAAGATGGAGGGTTTAAGTTGATAGGGAATTAAGAAGTACATTTGATGTCAAACACTATTGAAATATCGTTTAAAAAATGCCTGTACATTTTTCTTAAATTGGCAGTTTAGCGGCTATTATTTCGGATAAAAAAAGATGTCAAAAATGAAAGCCCCTTATATACAGGGTGTATCAATAAAAACTCCCAGGCCGGATATTTTGGTAAGTGGTAGAGATATTTTAATTCTGTAAAAGCCAGTTCAGAGAGCACTAAGAGAGCATCAGTTTTAGATATAAATTTATTTTAAATAGGTCAATATGTAGATGGTGCTGCACTCAATATTTTTTTTTTTTTCAATGGGAGGGTCTTTCTTGTGTAGCGCATCTAGTAAAAAATGAATTTTTAAGCAGATTTTATTCTATGAAGTAATTCGATAAATCTAGCCATTTTTGATATACAGAGTGGGCCACTCAAAACACTCTCATCCTGTTTTTCAGCATTAATCATTGGATTTTATGAAAATGCTAAAACAGGTCGATTTTTATTCCAAATTAAAAAAAAATACAATACAGACATCTGTCATGTGTCAACCCCCTCCCTTTCACTTCTCCAACAACTTAACTAAATAGGTAATGTACCATGTATGGCACATCATTGAAAAGGTAATTTAATGAGCGATTCAGAAATATTTCTGTACATTGCGTTACTTAAATTGTATCGCCCTCTAGTGCGATAAAAAACTACTACGTATTATAGAGTGTGACACTACAATGTGTAGTACATCATTAAAAAGGTAATTTTATGGGGAATTTAGAAATATGACTGTTCATTTCGTTACTTTTAATTGTACCGCCCTCTAATGGGATAAAAGAACTGTACTTATTATAAACAGTGACAACTTATTTGAAAGCAAATGTAATTACTAATTCAATTCACCACATAACATTAATTAAATATCATGCATTATTTTAAACATTATTGCTAACTTTATTTTGTTGCAAGTGCAATGTGGAAATATTTATATTAATGTTATGTGGTGCATTGAATTAAGAATCAAATAAGCTTTCAAATGAAGTGTCACACTTTATAATACGTTACAGGTTTTTTATCAGGATAGAGGGCGCTAAAATTAAAAGTATCGCAATAAACAGTCATATTTCTGACTTCCCATAAAATTACCTTTTCAATGATGTGCCGTACATGGTACATTCCTTATTTAAAATTAAGGGGTTGGAGAAGTGGAAGGAAGGGGGTTAGTACATGACAGATGTCTGTATTGTAAAAATGTGTTCAATTTGAAATAAAAATCGATCCATGATTAATGCTGAAAAACAGTATGAAACTGTTTTGAGTGACTCACTCTGTATATCAAAAATGGCTAGATTTATCGAAAAAGTTTATAGAACAAAATATGCTTAAAAATGCATTTTTTATAAGATGCGCTATATAAGAAAGATCCTCCCATTGAAAAAAATATTAAGCGCAGTGTTATCTACATATTGACATATTTAAAATTAATGTATATCTAAAACTGAAGCTCTCTTAGCGCTCTATGAACTGGCTTTTACAGAATTAAAATATCTCTATTACTTACCAAAATATCCGGCCTGGGAGTTTTTATTGGTACATCCTGTATACCAGCCTTGCTTAGAAGCGCCTCTTGCTAAAATGTTTATTATAATAATATTTCCTTCAATAAGTTTTAAACTGAGAATATTATACCTAAAAATAATCTCTATAATTTTTTTTGCAGGAAACCGAATCGCTACGGTCCTATTCTATATGAGCGACGTGGCTCAAGGTGGCGCGACCGTCTTTCCGATGGTAGGAGCTGCGCTCTGGCCGAAAAAGGGTACCGCCGCCTTCTGGTACAACTTGTACCCGAGCGGGGACGGTGACACGCTAACCAGGCACGCCGCTTGTCCGGTTTTGGCGGGATCGAAATGGGTGTCAAATAAATGGATTCACGAGTTTGAGCAAGAATTCAGGAGGCCTTGCACATTGGAAAGGCCGCCAGAACATTTAACGATATAATTCTTTATATAACGATGAATGGCCGATATTTCGAAAAATTGTCATTTTAATTGCGTCGGAATTACTTGAATGTAATCTAAAGTACTTACCGTTTGATAAGATATTTTGGTAGCCCTATTCTCTGCTCCAATTTACCCAAAGTAAGACAGAAGCTTGTACCTATAGGTGAAAAATTCTTCGTTTAATGATAACATAGCTTGGCTTAATAATATACACCCATTCCGTGTCCTGTTTAACACGTTCCCCTTCCAATTCCGTACCCGTACCTATTTATTTACCTCTAGTCTAGAAAACCATATATCGTTTTATTTGGACTCATTGTCTTATTTGTATCCAATGGTTTATTAGAAATTGCTGAATGCAATGTGGCTAAAAAGCAGTTTCTAATATTTATCTAATCATTATTTGAAATATACTGCTAGACGATATGTTTATGTAGTTAAAATGTTACAGAAAGTCTTGGAAAAAACTTTTGATCGTATAAATACACCACAATTTTTTGATTTTAATATAGTTGACCATGATGAAAGCGATGATAATGGATATTTTGAACAAGAGCGTCTCACATTAAGGGGAGGAGGGGGTCGATATAATATATCTAAGCATTAAAACACTAAATTTGAACTATTAACAAATAACTTATTAATTTCTAGATGTAAAAGTGACGTCACAATTAGGAGGAGGAGGAGTCAAAAAAGACGGGGGTGGTCAAAAAAGATGGGAGTCAAATAAGACGAGGGGGGTCAAAAAAGACGGGCTGTCAAAAAAAAAACGCGGAGGTAAAAAAGACGGACGTTCAAAAAAGACGGGGAGGGATTGGTCAAAAAAGACGGAGGGAGGGGGGGGTCAAAAATCATGAAATTCGTGTGAACGGATTAGACTTTTGTTAATTAAGAAGTGGGTTAGTTAGTTTATAGACAACGTGATATATTTGAGGTCAACTCAGCTGTTGCTAGTACATCATGTTATACCAGAGCATTGTCTAAGGAAAACCTTATGATAGTCTAACCCAACTTAAGAAACATTACGAATTTGAACAAAATTTAAGCAGAAACGAATATGTATATACCCATAGTAGAAGCGGTTAATTAATTTCATCACGGTACGCCAAAAAGTTTCGTTCTAGACCCAATTTGACAGTCGAATCATCACAACTGACAATACCACATTCTCCAAAATTGAAAACATCAATTAGAGTACCACCTGTACCTGATTACGTACTAATTACGTACTATCAAAGTCAAATAGAACAAGAAGCCAAAAAACCAGTTTAAAGCCAACCTCACTAATAAAAAGTTCTTCAAATCTTCTGTAGTAAATAATACAAAAGTAAGAAACTAATCTTTCCAGTGCTTTTAAATGGATAGCACCACTTAAGAAAAAATCGGATCTTCAGTCAAAAAAGAACCAGAATCCATGCCAGACCTGTTCCATTTAGTTTCAAAAGCAAAGACAAATATATGATGTCGGAAAAGGAGCAACTAATTCAAAGAGTGTTGGAAGCTGAGAAGAAGGCTAGAGAATTCACATCAAACCAGTGCCTAAGTCTATTTTTCAGCACACGAGGGCATTTTCTTGAGTCCCAAAAAATGATGTGAACACAATAAGTTCAACGCCAATCCTCCGAGCGTGCTTTAGAAGAAACCGTTTAAACCGAAACGAGAAAACAGACCTCTGCTCGACATAGTCGATTTCGTTTTGAAAGCCGACGTAAGATTTGGAGAAAAGGAACACTTTGAGGATGGTTAAGGACAAGGATATGCGTTTGATAATGCTTCGGCGACAAGAAGAGATAATCAGGAGACAACAAGGGGCTGAAGTGGTTCAAAGAGTTCAAAGATCCATAACTTGGTTCGTTATGCATCAATGGAAATGAAAAAAATACGAAGCAATTTGTTTTTTTTAAGTTTTCATTTGTTTCTTATAATTTTTTCGACAGAACGTAAGATTTTTTTCTTCCTTGAGTCATTCCTTATACTATCTAAATTTCACGTCAATCGGATTAGTCTGAAAGAATTCGAGATATTTTTAAGATTTTGCATCTCAAGAATTCCAACTAGAATTGCTAATTATTGAGAATATATTTGAAAATGGAAACATATATCCTGTTTTTTACAAACAAAAGCAAGAAGACGATAATAAATTATAGAATTATAATTCTTCTATATTTTGTTTTTGTCAATTGACCTTTCCCATTATTTGATAATTTTCGCATTAATCGTGCGCAAAAAAAGCGCGGTACTTTTGAATCTAGTAATTTTCCAAACACTTTTCCTCGCACACTTGTTGAGTTATCTACAACGATTACCCCATGTCATCGATTCTGTATAGTAGGGAGCCAGTGAAACTTTTAGTACACATTTGCAGATGGCTAAATTATAAATATATCGGTAATTCTTACTCTGTATACGATGAAAATACTTTGTTGCAATTGATCTAGCGGTGAAATGCCCTGTTAGCAAGCAAGAAGGTACCTATACTGTGAACCGAATTTCAAGAAACTTTTTTTCTACTATGTTATGTTGAGAATGGGGAGTTAATGTCTATCGCGACCCTTCTAATCCTATTTTCTCAAGGAAGTGTAGAATTTGAAGTGGCTTCAAGTTAGGTATATCTCCCTCTTCTATTTGATATCCTCCTAGATATAGTGCCCTTGGATTCTGGAGTGCTACACATTCAGTTAAGATGTGCATGGAGGTTTCGTCCTTCTCCTCACAGAATCTGCACTCACTATCCTCTACTACTCTCAGTTTACTTAGGTGTCCTTTTAGGTAAGGATCCCTGTTACAATACGTAGCCTGTTCTTGCTCATGCAGATGCAGGCTTCCGATCTTTTTTGATTATATTCACCCAGAAGTATCTTGGCCTGTCTCAGCCCTAAGAGATTGTTCCAATTATCGGTTCTTCTACTGCCCAATTCTTTTTTAATCTCTCCTAATATTATGTTACTGCTGGTATCGCAGAACGGCTCAGGTCCTACAAAGAGTGTTTGAGCCCCTTTCCTTGCAAGACTATCTGCAATCTCGTTACCCTGTACCGCGTTATGTCCCGGAACCCAAGTGAGAGTAACTCTATTTTTCTCGCCTAGCTCATTCAATTGTTCTAGGCATCTCCAGACCTTTTTTGAGCTGATTACGTAAGAGCTCAGCGCTTAATGGTTGCTTGACTATCGGACATGATGATAATCTCTTGTCTATTATAGTTAAACTGGATACACTTCTCGATGGAGTGAATTTCCGCCTGGAAGATGCTTGGGAATTTTCCCAAGCTTTCGGAGTGCTTGGTTCTCGGCCCATACATTCCTATTCCAGTTCCTTCTATGGTTTTGGAACCGTCTGTATACCACTGAATAGCACGTCTTTTGGTTGCAAGCGCGATGGATTCTTGGCACCATTCTTTCTTGCAGCCCAGCTCTGTGGTTTTGAAGTTTTTCACAAAACTGTACTTCTTTTGCATTTTATCCTGGGGCATGTCCCAGGTATCTTTAGTCCTGAAGCAAGTAGACTTTCTTCTGATTACTCCGTTCCTGATCATTCTATATCATGTCCTTTTTGCCACATTCTCTATCAGCAAATGTAGAGGGGTGAGGTTTAAGATCACCTCCATTGCGGCGGTAGGACAGGTTATCATTGCACCAGTAATGCAAACACAGGGTGGGCTTTGTACTTTTGAGATATTAGCTCTCGTAGTAACTAGACTAGTTCTGTTACTCCAGGCTATAGCCCCGTAAGTGATGATTGGGCTCACTATTGCAGTATACATCCAAGTACGTTTGGGTTACATCCCCATCGTTTACCTGCAATGTTTCTGCATATCATTAGGGCTTTTGTGGCCTTATTTACTACTTCGTTCTCAAGTGTGTTTCAGAGAAGTTTGTTGTCCAGGGTCAGGCCTAGATATTTGACTTCATTTTTCCATTCTATATCTATCCCGTCTAATTTAACGGTTTTGAGATTAAGTTTTCTTTTCCTTGAATAGGCCACTAGTGTTGTTTTTGTACGGTTTATACTTCACGGCACCATCTTTTGGTATGTTCTAGTCCTTTTTTTCTACTAACTTTTGATTTAAATAATATCTGAAAGTTTTAAGTTTGCCCTTTTATGACATCATTTTCTACAGAAGCTTTTTTAAAACGTCATTGTCGAGGGCTCCATCGCTGCGTAGCAAACTATTTCCTAGTTCTACAAGATAAGAATAAACGATATATTTATAATAAAATTTTATCTTTCACTAATAATACACCTAAAAGTGTCACTGGCTCCCCTACCATTACTATCAAACACAACATCAAAATTACATTTGCCGATATATAATTGGAATTCAGGGTAGGAAACATAACGACAATAAATTTTGATGATTTTAAGCGGAAGTAGAATTTGCGCATGTGTAATATAGATCATGACTAATGAGAAAGGTCCATTACTTTTACAACAAATAGTATATTATGCATTAATTGCATGTAAGTTGCATATACTATTTTTTTCTATAAGCAAGAAGCAGTACTTCAATTTGATAACATAGTTTAATATATATATTTTTTTAACTTTTGGTAATCTAATTTTGATGCCTAAAATAACTAATACAATTTTTTAAATTAACCACAACGTTGAGTAACAAAACAAACACAATGGGCCTATTTATTGATGCCTAATCACTGCAGTGCAACCCGCCCTCTCCCTCTTTACATATAGTTCTGTTATGCGTCTTCCTCAGGTAAAAATCGTTAAGCAGTCTTATCATTTTAAAGTATCCAACATTTTAATATTTTTATGTACGATGATCTAAGATTGTCTAATGAAAGAAAATTACATAATGCGCAAACGGTAATAAATTATCTTAGAAAATTATTTCTGTCGTTTAATTAGTAGGAGAGATATAGAAATGTTTACCTCAGTCCCCATATTTAGCACCCTTTGATATTTATTTCTGCTAGCCTTATTATGTTGACGAATTTGATTAAGAACGATTTGAACGTAAGTTATGTGTCGTCATTAGTTACTATTATGTGGTTGTTTCGTTGTTGGGTTATGTTTCTAAAATCCTGGCAAGTTTACAAGTTTCGGTCCACGTCACAAAATGTGAATGATCAACTTTGAATGAGCATTTAATACATTTTTAATAAAAACTTGAAATTGACTAAAATTTAATGAAAAATTTTCGAAAAATCGGCCTATAAATTCACGAATAACACCAATTCCCTTGGAAATAAAAAGAATCTCGTGTCTTGTATCGCCACATATCGAATTTTTCGAATTCTGATTTTGATAAAAGAAAACGTTAGATTTAAGGAATTTTTTGTATGAAAACGTGTATAATGTTCTCTTAAGTAAATGTTTTATATTAAATAATGTATATTGTGTAATATATTTTTATTATATCGAAATTAATTTTTCTTTCCACATGGATTTCCCTGTACCAAAAAATTTTTTTTCGATGGTCAGTACACAAAATCACATATTCCGTATTGTTTTTTAAACGTCAAAGTACACATCAAATTATTAAAACAGAAAAGTGTGTAACATTGTATTCACGTTATTTTATTTTACAACTACACATTTAATTAACATGAATATTTT